AAAAAGACAAAGGAAATGGCTCATGGCAAACATTTTTATCAGGATTTAGAATTTGATGTAACACATATTTGTAGTTTTCTATTATACTATGACCAATGTGTTCATGTGTGTATTTGTAGACATATATGCACCTAATGTGTGCGTGAGTGTGTTCTGGAGTCACAGGTTAGGATCTCCTTGTTCCTGGAGTGTGGAAAATAGTCTCCAACTACCCTCCCAATATTCTAGGTTAAAATGGATCACTGCTTTAAGGGTTTAGCTAAATCAAATTTTAAAGGCAGTGCCTTCAGAATCTAGAACCTTTATAGTAAAACCTCTAAAACACTTATGAAACTTCACCTTTTGCCTCCCGTTAAAATCTTCTTTAACGGAAATGCCCTTAGTAAAATAATTCTACTCTATCTACTTGAAAATAACCATTTCTTCCGAACCTTTTGTTGTTTTCCAATTTTCGTTCATTTGTTCATTCATTCTTTTCTTCAACAAATGAGTTATTGGGTGCCTGTTATACCAGGCACAATACCATGTGGTACAAAAGCAAACGAGAGAATTTACAGATATGAGGAGTGCCAGTAATGACAACACAGGGCTGCAGATCAAGCTCTGTTCTTTGCTGAGTCACATTTGGTCATAAGATCACTTATACTTTTCTAATCTATTCAGTCTCAAGAGTGTTTACTGATATGCAAATGCCTATCACAAAGCATGCATTTCTGAGTTGAACATCTTATCTAGAGTTTGGCTCAGTCAGCAGGCCTCTGCATGTGCTGAATACTGAGAATGAAAATAAAACATGATCTATATGCATATAGAACACAAATAAGAGAGCAATTCAAAGAAAGGAGAGATCAGTTTAGTTCGCCATAGTCCCTGATAGCTCCACGGAAGCAGCAGGATCTGAGCCGTATGCTGCAGGGTTTATAGGAATGCAGACATGAAGGAAGGCATAATGGTGGGCAGTGGAGACCGAGCAAAAAATCACAGGACACCACTCCCCAGGATCTGTGGTTGGCCAGTCAGAAACCTTCCCTAGATCTTCCTGTGGAGCTGCTGAGAAAGCTCTGTGGCCATGGCTCCACTCTCATAAAGGAAACCAAGCCGAAAACAGTTTACTCTCAAGGAGAGAGTTCTGTGGGCATTTGAGTTTCTGGTTCCAGACATCTCTGAGGCCAGTTTAACTGATGCCCTCTCTGTGTTTTGATTACATGAGCCAAACCTCTTTTTGCTTAAGTTAGTCTCTCTCACTTAGAATTTAAAATAGATCTGATGCAAGAGAAAACATTTGAAAAAAAGATCCTCAGATATTTTAACAAAAACTTAGAGAGAGAGCTGGATTAGAAAGGGAAAAGAATGATTTTTACTTTTGAAATGCTGATTTTAAGTTAGTGGGAAGGCATCTGTGTGTGTGATGTGTGTGTGTGTGTGTGTGTGTGTGTGTGTGTGTGTATGTACATAGAAATATTCAATGATACCTATTTGCAATTTATTCTCATAAAATGTAATTATGATTGTTAACATTTATTGAGCTACTTCTATGTGCCCAACAATATTCTTTATTCTTTACCTATATTATTTCACTTAATCCTTCCAACATCCTACCTTACAGTTGAGAACTAAGATACAGAAAGATGTTGTACCTCTGCAAGATGAACTAATTAATGAGCTTTGAAGCCTAGGTACCCACCCAGATAGTTTGACTCCAGAGATCACCTTGAATTAAGTGGAAGAAATATTGATATGTAATCTATATGTTTACAATATTTGTGTGTTTGCACACATTTACTGCAGTGTTTGGTTACATCTTGGTTAAGAATTCATGATCTTGTTTTAAAATTGATACTTAAAGGAGACATGATATTCCCATTTCTGCACAATTATACAATGTATATAGATCTACATTGTATATTGGTCATTTATTGACTATTACCTCTTTGACCAGGGACCTTCAATGTCAATAGATAGGAAATAATGTTAAATGGAATCCATCCCTGATTTTCTATTATCCCCTATTTTGTTTGCTTTCTGATTCTTTGTTCTGCACCTGCATCAAAACAAAACCTGCACCTATTTTTGCATTTGCATAAATTAACTTGTTTTGGATTTCTGCCCAGATTCCACAACATATCAGCCCTACAGCATATCACCCACACCTGTGTCCTTGTTATGTGACTTAGGGATATTTCCAGTTGTCCTAGAATTGTGGCTATAGTCCCAGCTGGAAAGAAGTAGTGTTGAGCACCTGACAGTCTAAAGAGAGCTGCCAGTTACTAGGATTAGATACGCTGCTCAGGAGAACTGGACCTGCTTCCCCTTCCAGTCTTTCTGAAGACTACATAGAAAGATGGATTGGAGGAGGGAGAAAGAAAAGAATGTCCCGCCTAGACTGTAGTAAGGGAGAAAAGGGAGGTGGTTCCCCCTCCCCCATCCCCAAGCAACATGGCATGGGGGCGTTCTAAGGGAATCCGTGTTAGGGATTCTGGTTGGCACCAGCATCTCCAGTTGGTGACTATTGATCTGTCTGCCTAACCTGGTGCTGCCAGGAGGGAAGCCGAGCACTGCCAGAGGAACTCCTACATAGTCTCTGTTACGGACTTCATGTTTGTGTCCTGGCAGATTCATATGCTGAAAGCCTAACCCCTAAAGGGATGGTATTAGGAGGTGGGGCCTGTAGCAGGTCACTAGGCTGAGGGTGAAGCTGTCATGATGGCATTACTGCCTTTCTAAGAGAGAGCCTGCTTTTTCTTTCTGCTCTTTCCTCTCTGTGAGGATACATGAAGGTGCCTGTCTGCAAACCAGGAAGCAGGCTCATACCAGACACCGGTCTGCGGGTGCCTTAACCCTGGATTCCCAGCCTTCAGAACTGTAGGAAAAGAGCATTTGTTTTTGGGCCACCCAGTCAGTGGCACTTTTGCCATAGTTGACTGAGCTGACTATGAAAATCTCACATTAGTAGACACCATCAGCAGCCCCTAAACTGAGCCGAAACAGGACCCAAGAGGTCTGCTCACCAGGGACAGCTGGCCAGCTCCCTGGGGACAGCCTGCATGTCCTAACCCCCACCATCATCCCTCCTTCCTCCTATTGTATCTACAGATAAATGGGTTGACAAACTTACCCAAGTGCTTTCTGTGTGCGAGGCACTGTTCTACATGACTTAGAAGTACTGACTCATTTACTCTGCATACTGACCCTAATGAAGTAGATGCTCTTGTTATCGCCACTTTAAAGATGAGGAAGCCAAGTCACAGAGAGGTTAGGGAACTTGTTCAGGTCACACAGTTAGGAAGCGCTGGAGTCAGACTGAGGCAGACAGTCTGGTTCCAGAGTGGCTGCTCTTAATCTCTAATTCCACCTTCTCCATCACAATCATGGCCTCGCCCACAACCCTCTGAGGGCTGGGGTGAACAGAGATCAAGACCCTGTCCCACTCAGAGACCCTCAGGACCCAAGTCAGGCTGGCACTGGGGGACAGGACAGCAATGAGATTTAAGTCAGGTGCAAGAGCGACAGGAATTTTAAGCTGGCCCAACCTAGATTTGCAGTGACCAACGATGATCATAAAACTGTAAGAATTTCCCAAATGTACATTAAAGGATAGGAATTTGACAAAGCCCAGTTTTAAGCTGGGAGTGTGGGGAAAACCAAAACTATCTCATATTTGTACCTTCTGAGTTCAGACTGCTCCATAATCAGTCACATACTGAAAGCCCTGAACACTTGTTCTCATGAGTTAGTCACGTTAGTCATTACGTACTCCCAGCTCTTAGCCATACCTTGCTGAAATACAGAGATGATCCAGAAGAGACGACCCCACACCCTTGTTCTGGTTTTACAATTTCTCCCCCAATAACTTCTTGCCAGTCAGACTCCCAACCATTCTGATTCTCAAAATCTGACATAATCGTGGAAGGAAGAGCAGCTTCTGGGTGGCATTCAGGGCCGTGGTATCCCTGGTCACACCTGGAGAGCAGAGGGCCACGTAAACAGATCAGAGTCTCATCTGTGAAGGTCATGGACGTGTGTCTGCAACATTTCCTGGGCCTCATGTCTGCTCAGGACTTTGCTGTCACCCTAGATTTTTCTCTGCAGTGTTAATCTGTGGCAGGAACAACTTTCAATTTTTCACACCACAAAAAAACAGCAGAATACTTTATTAAAAGAAATAGTGCTGTAACAGTAGAATAGAGGCATTAAGTAGTAATGAAGAATATGGTGTAATGCTCATGATGAGGGCAAGGGAAGGATAGTGGGATTTTCCCACAGCCTTAGAAAGTCACATACACATGTTTATCTGCTCAACCAACATGTAACTCTAGAGGCGTTTTAGAGGTCCTCTTTCTGATTAAATTACATCTCTTTTAGAGTCTTTTAAGTATTCGTGTGTTCCTGTCTCATTCTCATTAGCAATAATCACCATCTCCCCATGTATACAACCTTGAGCTTCTGGCAAAGTGCTGCAGGACAGCATGAAGCAGCTGTTTGGTACTTTAAGACAGCCAGGGGAACAAAAGGGACACAATAGCAAGGGTCTTTCAACTACAAAAGAGGAATTTGGGGTTAATTAATAGACTCTGAAAGTTAAACCCAAGAGACCTTGTCTTGAGATTCTGAGGCTTAGAATATATGGCTGCATACTTATTTAAATGTAGCAATATCTTTTGCATCTAGAGCAAGAACAGAAAGGGGGGTCATTTTCTTTTGGTTCTTTCACTATTTATCAGTCTGTCTATATAACTCAGGTGACAACTGGTGTGCGTATCCTTATAAACACAAGTCCTAGAAGTGATCACACTTCCTGACACACGTACCTGCACACACCGTGGTCGCAGGAGCCATGCCCATTGCACATGTTTGAGCACTGCTGCCCAATGTAAATGTTGTCTAAAGCCCACTCATCTTGGGTTGTGTAATAGCTCTGACTCCAACGGAAGCGGGTGGCACTGGACCTAGGTAAAGGGGACAGTAATGAAAACAGTATTTTAACTGACATGTGGTAGCACAGATAAGGGATGTAAGAGTTCAAAATCCTTCAGATAAGGAACTTGCTGGAATTTGTATTCAGCTGCCAGTCATTTTTCTTTAGTAGTTTAATTTCCAATCAGTTATTTTCCAATTCAGCAATTCTGTTATGAAGCAAAGTTAATAAGAAACCTGCTTATTTTGTATATATCTGAATCTTAATTTAATTTGAGACATTTTAAAGAAAAACAAAATATCTGATTTTTTGTTGTGCAGAGATTTGATGCTAGGAAAAGAAAGGAAGAAAGTATATATATATGTGGATATATATATATGATAGCTATTAAATGGCCTCTCACAGATAAAAAGGTGAAACACTTAGAGTAATAAAATTTTTTTATAATAGTCACACCAATAGTTATTGGAAGGTTTCCAATTAGCTCTCAACAAAAAACAAAAGTTTTGTGTGGGGGTATTGTTTTGGCTTTAAGGGGACATGCTACAATGTACTGTAAGTTAGAACACCGGGGTGCTAAATTCTGCTTACTATTTCTGAAACATTAATTTGCTTAGGTTTCATGGACAAGTTGATGTTAAGGGGAGATAAAAAGTTAAACACTGTATTACACATAGAGAAACATTTGGGATCTTGATTCATCTTAATCAGAAAGTTTAAAGAAGAGGATATTCTGAGAGCAATGGCAAGAAGGTTTCCATTCACTGTACAAAGGTCTTTTAAAATTATATGTTATTTCCACTTCTAGGAATTTTCAGGGTTCTGTGATTATTTTTTTGCTCAAAGTGCAAAGTCCTTTGTTTTTGTTGAAAAGGATTTGCAGGATTAACATGCTCAGTTCCATTGACTAAACCCTCCCCAAGCACACTACCTACCGATCTACTTGATCTTTAACGGCTCTGAACGATCCATTAAAGACTACTGCATCAATTACCCCCACATTAAATCCTCCCTAAGTATGTAACAGACTGTTAAAATCCAGACTAAGCCTTTATTGTTTACCAATGGTCTGTGGCTAATAGGTTGCATTTTCATTCCTACTAGGATAATTCCAGGATTCACTGAGAAGCATCTGGTAGACACCAGTTTGCTGCCTCTTGGTGCTCATGATGGTACAATGAAACAGGTGCACCTCCTTTGTGGTAACAGTTTATATTTGTAATCTAACAGCCATCACAATTTCAGTCCCAGGAAGAAATGGTTTCTAGAAAAGTCCACTATGAAAGTAGGTATACTGTCTTAGAGTATAGAATCCTACAGAAAATAAGTAACTTCAGACTCATGCACCAGTGTCATGAAGAGGGGAGATGACTACATATTTTTAAGGCCAATTATAACTTGAGTCAAGTTTACAGCCACAAGTATTTAAACTGTGAGGTTATGGGCAGACAGGGCTATTCTGGGTCTCAATAGTTTGTCCAGGAACAAAATGAATTAGATTTACAAAAAAAATGCTAAAAAAATTGAGCTGATGGGTAGATGGACAAGTCAAGCAAAGGGCAGCCTTATTTCTGATTCTGTAGGTAATGGAGTGAAGAATGTGCCAGAAGTCAGGGGACCCAACCCACAGGACCACGGCTCTGTGATCTATCATCTGGGTGACCTTTAGTAAGAAATTTAAGCCTTCAGGGGCTTCTAGTTCCTCACCTCTCAAAAATAATGGCTTGGGCAAACTGATTTCTAAGATCCAATCTAGCTCACAAATTTAATGATGGGTGGTTTGTTGGCCTAGGTGATAGTTTATTTTCTTTGCAGTCACATGGCATGTGAAACTCATGCAGTACATTATTTTGAAGTTTTGATATTTCAAACATTAAAATGGGGATGGAGGGTTTCAGAAACTGCCCCAGATTTCCCAGTTTATTTATGCTTCTGAACAGTCACTAGTAAACACATTCTGAATTCTTTCTCTAAGCAAATTAATCTTTACATGAGTCTTTTGAAAAATGCAGACTTTTGAAAAATGTATTGTTTCCTTAAGATAAAAAGCTTAATGTGAATTATTCCATTTAAAATTAGAATCGACAGTTTAATGTGCTTATGTTAATTAACAGAAAAGGAAGCAAAAAAGAGGTTGAATATTGACTTCACTTTTAGTGAGAACAGAACAATTAATTGTGTGAGCAATCTCCAGCTGATCACACGTGAGAACTCAAGGTGTGATCTCACTGATTTGCAGCTGCAGCACTGCTAAATTTCACCCCCAATAGAAATATTTAATTTGCCAATTCTCTTTCTCTCTCATAACAAAGTATTCTTAGGAGGAAAATCTTGCACACTTTGGATTAAGTCTGGATATGGGACTACTGTTGTGTGGATCACGTTGACATGCATTTAAACTCTAAACCCTATGGATTCCCAAAAGCAAAGAAACTTCCTTGTCTTTGATTATTTTCCCACATAAAACTTCTAGAATGGAATAAAATAGCATTGAGTCATCTCTTGATAGTCAGGTTTCCTGAGCAATCACAGTAAATGAAGGCTGACTAAATTGTATTTTCCATCTTCAGTGTTACTGTAATTACATTTACCCAATTATTCTGAAACTCATTCAGTCATTAGGTATAGATTTGTTTATGAAGTCCGCAACTGACAGCTGTTTGGGTCTCATTAGGCCCCATCCTTCTGTAAATGTCTCTCATAAAAACAAAATTAATTTTTTCATTGGGTAACAAATGTTCAGTTCATACACAATATAATTTCTCAGAGCAGGTGCATATATACTCAATATTTCCACTCTAAGAGTCCTAGATAGCATTATTTTCCAAAGTTAACAGATCTTTGATAATATAGGGACCAGGTTTGTTTATATGTGTTCAATTATATAGTTGCATATTTTTAAATCAAATAGCAGAACAAAGATTTGCCAAAAGGAGTACTGCTTTAAACTAAACTGTACTCTGTTTCCCCAGTGTTTGAGAAAAACATGCTACTTGCAAAAGTTTGAAATGAAAATAACATTTTCAAGAATGCCTAGGAAAATGAATGTCCTTTATCCTTAGAGCAGAGCTATAAAGCATTATAAAGGCAAATAATCAGTTGAACAAAATTAAAAAAAAAATAGAGCAATAATGCTTAGTTTAAATATTAGTAGGAATGTTAAAATAAATATCCTATTCAGTTGTTTGCTTTTAAAAATACTTCTACTTTCTTAACCCAGAGCTCTGAAGGAATTTAGAAAAGCAGAATTCAATTATCAAATCTTACATATACTTAAAGGAATTGGTTGGAGGAATAATCTAGACTTTTTTTTCTGTTTGTACAGATATCTTGTAATAAAACATTTTGTTAATGCTTTGAATTAAATTCTATTTAATTAAACTTCTATTTAATTCCCCAACATTTAATGAGCACCCCACCTATGTGGCAGGCATGGTGTTGGAACTACAGAGTTTAAGAGTCAATATATTTCTTCTCAAGTGTCTCATACACATTGATGAGAATTGACCTTTTATTACCACACCAAAACTTTCACCTCAGTGGTACTATCTTTTAAACTAAGAAATAATATTACAATGTACAAATGTATAATTTGTGTATAAAACAACTTGCAAAGATTTTTTTTTGATAAAGGACAATATTTTTTGGATACTGCCTAAATAGTTCATAATATTTCTAGATGTCATAAGACATCTCTAAAATATACTATCAATACTACCTTACCATCATAATTTTGAAATTGTATCCCATGTGTCAATGACTAAAAAAATCAGTTTTTAAAAATGACAGTAATATACTTAATAGCAAAATAATGAGGAAAAAAAAAACCTTAGTTGCTTTGCACTGACTCTGACCAGTCTTGCTTTTTATAATCTTGATAGATATGCTTGGAATATCATTGAAATTAATAAAAGTCTTGATTATATTCCCAGCAGTTGACATAAAAGAGTAGGATGTTAGAGAAAGCAGCAACTAGTAACTTTTAATAAAAGCATCACTAGAGTATCCAGGAAATGGCTCACTGTTGGATGTTAAAAAAATCTCTGGAAATCAAATTTCAAGCATTTGATTCCAACTGAGATAATGATAAATCCTTAAAAATAATCAAGGAGGCATTTTTATATAGTGCAGAAACTCAATCTTCAACTAAAGGAGGTATAATAAAAATTCTAGGTTGTTACCTAACCAATTGTTTTGTGTAGAGCTGAACTTTTATATAAAATCATCTGAGAAGGGTTTATTTCATAATTCTCAATACAAGAGGACTCTTGGAAGGCAGATACAACAGAATAATAGAATTCTTGTCTGTTTTATGCTTTTTTTCTATTACACAAATCCATAATCTCAGAATGCCAGTAATTGTAAGGGACCTTTAACACATCTAATTAAACCTCTTCATCATCCTTATAAGAAATAAGGCTTGAAAAGGTTGTGAATGCTTAAAATCATGTAATTAATCATTGGTCGAGGCACGCTGAGCACGCAGGCCCTCTGCTGCCTAGTCCAAGGCTCTTTCTAGGGGGTGTCATTCTGTCCAGGGTTTTAAATAGGATTCATAGATTTAACTTTCAGCCCAAACCTCTTTTCTGAGCTCCCAATTCATAAGTCCAATTGGCCTCTGGACATTTCTGCTTGGATAGATAAGTATCTCAAACTTCACATCACAGAAACAGAACTGTTAATTTCCTGCCCCAAATTCACTTGTTCTCCAGTCTTTCCCATCTCAGTCAGTGATACTCTGTATCCAGCAATTTTCCCAGGCCCAGAATTTAGAAAATGCTTTTGAGTTTTCCCTCCCTCATAGCCCCCATCTAGTCCATCAGCTAGCACTATTTGATTAAAAATATATTTCACACATGATGGCTCTTGCTGTATCTGCTACAATCCTATTCCATGCCGCCTAAATATCCAATGCCTGGAACCCCCTGGCTGGTCTCCTTGTCTCCAGTCTTTCTCCTACAGTCTGTTTCTCACAGTGCTCAGAGTGATTAATTTAACATGAAATGATGTAACATTGGGGGGAAAATAAGCTTTTCTCTTTCACATTATGAAATGTTAAACTTTCTCCCTAGGCACTGAGGCTTCTACTTCCTGGGAGCTGATTTTTATTGTTACTGGAAGAATGTAAATAGAGCAAACAGGTGTATATTAAGCTTTTGAAGTAAAAAATAAGGCTTTGCAGTGAGAAAGAGCTTTGCAGTCCCAAGTGTCTTGACATAGGAGTTTTTAGATCCCTGTATCATTCCCTTTTCTATGTCAAGCCTAAAGGAACAGGCCCACTGAGTTCTCCATAAAAACAGAAGTTGAGTAAAAAGGGAAATCAGGAAAAGCTGGGACAGTTCAGGAACCAAATTTTCATTAGTTCTGCTTTTCAAATATGCTCATTCTTGAAGAAAGATCTGGTTCTATTGATGATGAAAAAAGAAATGCATCTTTCCATTGTGCTTAACTCTTCTTTCTATGCAAGTTATGCTAGCAGAGACAGTAATAGTCAGAGTGACAGCCGGATCTGCGCTGGCATCTCTCACCAAGTTTTCTGGGGTAGAAGCACTATGACTCTTCTCCACTGGGTGAACTCACTGGCGTGGTACATGCTGGCTGATGTGAATTCCTGACAACTTGGCATACTTGGAAGGCATTCCTAGAAGAGAGTCAGGTAAAAATTAAACTCAGCTTTTATTTCTTTCAGGGGCAATATGTTTACTTGCCATGAGTGAAAAAGACCTTGGAGAAGTGAAATTTCATATTCTTAGCCATTTGTAATATGGATGCAATCCATAATTTTTCCTTCTGTGAAGCTAAAATATTTGGGAAATAATTGAAATAAGATGCCACAGTGGAATTAAATGTCCTCCAGTTCTCACATGTAGTAACAGAAATGGATTAGGATCCATTTTTTGACCTAGTATCATAACATTGGAATTTGGTAAAAAACTTACTTTATTTACTATGATATTTATACATTTATTGCAATGTTAGAAGCACATTTTAATCCAAGAAACTGGATGTTTGTATTTCCTTCTTTTTTTTTAAGGTGAGAGATAACGTATTTTTAATATGGTCTACCTAAAGGTAAAGGGACTTAGAAAATAATAGATGAAGACATGCTATATGGAAAGAAAACTAAAAAGACAGAAGTTTATAGAGAAAGAGGTTGAGAGAATATCCAAAACACCATCATAGAGAATCCAGTCCTGAAGTTATTCCCATTTTTTTTTTACAATTTTCAATTATCCCTTAGTATCTGATAGTGCAGAATATGGCATCCTTGTAATCCATTGCTGACTTGATGTCAATTCTCAGTTCCAAATAACATTGCTCCTTTTCCTCCAGACCCAAACTTTTAGAGTTGTAATTCTTTGCTTCCTGTTTCAAAAGAAGGAGGCTACCTGTCACAAGCTTCAGAGAAAACAGATTTACCTCTTGGACAAGGTGCCAGGTAAGGCCGTGGTTGGTCGAATACTCCAGTTTCACCTGGTTGTCCATGTGTGGAGTGTATTTCTGGCCACAGCCCATCACCAGACTGAACTGAATCATATAGGATGCTCCTATCTGCATTGACTGTGTTTCCACATAGCGCATACTTGAGGCAAGTTTAGAATCTCCTGTAAAACTGAAAGATAAAGGTGGAAATTAGAAAATTAAAAACAGCAATGTATTAGGGAAAAACTAAGCTCTTCATTTCATATCATACATCAGAAGAGTTTAATTTACTTAAACCTTGACAAAGTTTCAGTCAATCTACTCAATGCCATTTAAAACAATCTGCTTATCAAAGAAGCAACATTTTTGTTAATACCCAGAGTTGTTAAATATGTTTGAAGATGGGTATTCACTTGTATATTGCTCATAAATATAAAGCCTTTGATGCCTCAACCTCATTTCTGGGACTCTATCCTAAGGAAATAATTTTAAATTCAAAGATAATTTTATAAGGCATGATGAATATTGCAGGTTTAATTGTAATTGCAGGTTAAAATAGCAATTGGTAACCATTTCAGTGTTAAACTATAGGGAAAGTGGAATGCTTAAGTAATTACACTGGTATAGCTTCTTGATGGATTATTCATATTTCAAATATTTATGAAGGTAGTACAATCAAATGAACATGTAGATAAAAATAAGTTTTAAAAAGTCCACAAAATGATGCATAAAGGAATTCACCAGAATGTTTGTAGTGGCTGTGTTTGATGATGAGAAAGCAGATAATTTAAAACTTTCATTTTTTTTTCTTATTTTCCAGTCATTAATGCTTGTGCATTAAACATGGACAACATCATAATGTAGCTTTAATCGTGTGCCTCAAGTCAATAAAATTCACGTTTTACTGAATCCCAGTTGAGTACTATGCAACTGTAAACTGTTTGAAGGCAGACACAGTTGCTTTGTATGAGAAAACTCTTCAAGGAATTTGTAATCTATCAGAGGAGAGAAAAATATGGACACGTTTTCACTGTAGTTAACGTGGGTCAATGTAAGTATTCCCCGGGCCAAGCACACTGGCCAGCATAGATCACAGCACTGCTGTTATGGAGCAGGTCTGTACTGCTCCTCAACAGTAAATCCTAGCAGTCAGGGGCCTTAGCTGACATAGACAAAGGAGACAATGCAGTACTCTATGGAATCTTTGAGGCATTTAATATTTTAAAAATATTATATTTTGCCAAATCAGCAAAATGGGGAGTTAACTATTATGATTTGCTTCTTGCAGAGATTAAGATGTTTTTTAAAGAAGGAATATTTCCCACACAGAGCATCATCATGGGCTTGGGTTCAAGGTTATAAAATGTTCGAAGCTTTTTTCCTACCAGTGACTAATCACTATTTAATGGTTTTAAGTGAAGGTTTTGCACTTGGACAATGAATAGAGGAATAGAATGTAAGAGCCTCAATCTCCGCGTTAGCTGAATATTCAGTAAAAGGAAGGGAAAAGTCCTATCAATACTGTTGGTTTTACAGATCTAGTGCTTACAACTTGTTTTTTGTTATTAATAAAGATGCTCACCAGTTGTTGAGTTTAGGTCATATACTAAGATTGTGCTAAATGCAATACCCACATTATCTTCCTCAGTTCTATCCTTACATGTGAAGTAGGAATCATTATCTCTATTTAACAGTTAAGGAAGTGGGGATAATAAGCGGTAGAGACTCAAGGAAAAATCAGCTTTGCCTGACCCGAAAGTTCTAGCCCAATACACTAGCTCTTGTTCCTTTTATTACTCTAAGATGGAGACGAAATCACTGCAGTGTTGAATAATCTTCATTTACAGTTAAAGATTATTAACTTTCAGTTACTATGCAACGATACTGTGATGTTAGAGATATAAAGTGGTAATTGCTGCTATGTGTTAGGGCATATGGCATGCAGGCTAGAAAATATAAAATTGCATAATGCAATTTTTAGCAATATTACAAAATAAAGAAATCAACATAGAACAAAAATACTAGTAAGCTGTGCAGGCACGGACTTGGCTACATAATTCTAAAGTCTTTTAAATAGGTATAAAATCTTGAACACATCTCCCTGAGAAAAATGAATGCTGCTTTTAGCTTCAAGGGTTAAATGCTCTTTCTAGTACCCTTTATGACAGAGGTAATTGTAGGCAGCCAACGAGGCTTCATTTGAATTGTTCACTTTAAAGGCATACTATATATTCTGGTCATCTGGGGGATAAAAAGACACAGTGCAAGGTAGACCATGGGTGGAAGGTTCTGCGAGCCACACAGGGCCATGTAAACTTTGTTCACTCATGTCTTAAGTAGTATTTCACCACCCTAGCATTTATGAAATATGCAATAAATTTAAAATTATTTTCACAACCAGCTCCTTGTAAATCCCTCTCTTCTGAGATGGTGTAGTGTCCTCAAAATTCTATACAGAAACAGGAAGAAATGCTGCATTTTGCAATTATTGTCTGCACCTAACTTTTGCACAGTTACAAATTAACCATGAACTTGACTGAAGAGAGGAAGTATTCAAAGATGAGAAGGAATGTGTGTTCTGTGAGCTGCCTTGACAAGAACAGCTTCTAAAGGTGCCAAGACATCCAGAAAGATTCATGATAAAAATTCTATAAAAGGACAAGAGGCTTCACTTTAAATGAGGGCAGTTAAACAGTGAGAATAAAAGTTTTAGTTACCGTGAATATCTGTTCCACCAGTAGGTGGGCAGACGTTGCTCGGTAGGCCATCCAGCTGCCAACCCCAGCCTCTTTTCTCCTGTCACCTTCTTGTGACTGGCCTAGGACTGTCCACTCCACCACCGAGTCTTCACCAATGGGACATCAGTGAAACATGCTAGGTGAATTTACTCATTCAGCTTTCATATAAGCTTTTCAGAAGGGGAAGATGGACTGGCTGGCATGCCCTTCTGCCTGTCACTCTCACTGTCTCCCCCTCCTTCCCAGTGGGGCAGGAGTGTCTTGTAAAAATAATGGAACAAGCATGCAGATGGAGGTCCCTCTTCTCTCTCCTGAGATGGCAGAGTAGAAAGATGCAGAGACCCTGGGGTCCCAACTGCCTTGCAAACCTGCTTACCAGTCCTCACTGCCAATCTTAGGGCAATTTGTTATGAGGGACAAATAAGCCTCTTCACTTCTGTGGATGCCATGGTCCATCCTTTCTTACTGCTTATGTTGTAACCTAGCACTGAATGCATTTCTAACTGCTACACCTGCATATTTCGTGGTACTGTATGATACCTACCTGATGTCTTCATTTGAAGCAAAACAGCACAAGAAAAGCACAGACATCTATGCCTTAAAATCTTGACCATTCATAGTACAAGTTCACTCAGTTGTTTATAATTTATTCAAGACTGGCTGAAAGCCAGTAATGTGAGGACTGTTTTTTCCCTCCTGAATACTCTGATGTTCACACTCAGGAGTTTTAGGGGAGAGAATTGAATAGACTGCCATCCCTTTAATTTCCAAAACTGCTCCTCTTGGCTGCTTACCTAAGTCCAGATACATTTACAAAGGCAAAAATGAATCTGAACTTCTTCTCTGCTATAATCACAGAAACAAAAAAGAACAGTCCACACCAGCATTTTGAGGAGAAATTCTTGAGACAGAATGCATTGGGAATCAGGAGGCTTAGTTTTATTCTGTTCATTTGCAAGAGCAGCTCACCAATAAAAGAACAATAAAAAAGCTCTTGCATCCAATTACAAGATTTAATAAGAAAATGGGAATAACTCTTTCCACTAGGAGTAAATTGCCTCTCTGTGCCTTTTCATTTTCACCTCTAAAAAGGCTAGCAGGCTCTCAGTTATCACTGTGGTAAAATGAATGACACCATAACGTCACTTGAGTCTCCATCATTCTATACTTAGCCCACAGCATAACTCCTCCTGCCCATCCCTTGCTTAAGCTCATGTCTTGCTGAGGATCTACTGTCCTGAGCAGGCTGGGGGGCCTCTCCACAGGGAGTGATCATGTCTCCTTCATCTCTGCCTCCCCTAAGGCACTCAGAGCCCTGTGCACCTCACAGAAGCATGTGGCGTTGGTGCAGGACACCATGGTTTTCCACCAGCTGGATGATCTCATCTGACTTTTGAGTCAAACCCATGAGGGATTCTTAACACCATGTCCTGGAGAAGGAAAACCCAGAGGCTGAGCCATGAGCCCAGGGTCACATAGTTACTAAAAAGCTAGAAACTAGGCCTCCTGATTTTCTACTATGTCATGCTGATCAAAGGCACTTACAGAATGTTAAATAAAATAAGCACATGAGTGAGGTCTCTCAACTGGGGAGATGATGGCAAGCTTTACAAAATCATAGTTACTTAAAATGCTGCAATGGACAGAGACAAGGTTTGGGGTTATCTTCATTTAAAAATCATTCTTTCTGCATTTTCCCAGCACCTCTTTTCCATCTCCAGAAAAAAGCCTCTTTTATCTGAAAGGCAGGTACACTTAACAAAGTAAGAGGGAGAACACCTGGGCTACAGATTCACGTGAAACGGCCCAACTACCTACGGACTGAGCCATTTTTGACAATTGATCCCATCTCTTTAAGAATGTGACTGAAGTTTCACAATCAATGTGCCACCAGAGAAAACAAATGCACCAATAGTTATAGTTCTTAGAAACCTAAGTAATATTTTACTATTTTCACGAATCTCACAGAAAAGAGCAGCTCTGCAAAACTCATTTCCAGAGAAACAGAAGAGCAACACAAAGTTGTTTTTGGTTTGATACCATTCAGAAGTCATATTTATCTGCTAGAAGGACATATGAATGAATTTAAGCCTCTCTAGTAAAATATCTTATTTTGGTTTTGTTCTTGTAATCATCAAAGGAATGTTTACTAGTGTTGGCAGAAAAACAATGTTGTGGAATTAGAGGCAGCATTTTAACTTGCTTGTTATTTCTATAATATTATATCTCAAAACAAATAGCCATGCTACTTTAGTGGATTACATAAATTTTACACTTATTGGAAAAAATCTGACAATATAGAAGTCTCTTTCAAAAAGTAAAAATTCACAGTTCTATGACCTGGAGATGACTGCTGCTAACATTTTTGTATAAATATTTTTAGACTTATGTTCATACACATAAATATGCACACACATTCACACTCACTTTTCTTTCTTTTAAAAATATAATT